AATTAGATAGGAATTGAGCTATTATAATTATGAATGTATGCTTCCACCTATGTTAATAATGCAAATGAGCTAACTATGAATGCATATGCATTGAATGAGTTATATAAAGATGTGAATTAATAAGTCATGCATGAATATCATATATTATACATATAAATGACAGAATATAATATTCAAACAAAATTAAGAATAAGATAAACATATTTTCATGACATGTAATGCATAAATGAGTAAATAAATAATAAAATAAGGTAAGACTCCCTTAGAATCAACAAGGTAGAAGGTCCATGAAGTGATCATGTGTTGAAGAAGTTTGGTCATTGGCATGATCACATCACAAGATGCCATGTCAAGGACAAGGTGTGCACAATGATCATCGATGGAGGAAGTTACACAAACGTAGCCAGTACTCTTATGGTTGAAAAACTTGGATTGGCCACATCAATGCATCCTACTCCATATAAACTCTAATGGCTCAATGAAGTAGGTGAGTTAAACGTTACCAAACAGGTTCTAATTCCTTTTTCAGTTGGTAGGTACAAGGACGAGGTGCTTTGTGACATTGTCCCTATGCATGCTAGCCACATCTTACTTGGAAGACCATGGCAGCATGACAAAAGGGCCATTCATGATTGTTATCACAATCAATACATTTTTAAGCATGATGGACGCAAGGTAACCTTGATGCCTTTGACGCCAAAAGAGGTATAACAAGATCAGTTGCATATGCGAAAGAGTGTACAAGCATGGCGCAAAGACAAAACCCCAATGAAGAAGAAGAGGAATGAAACATGACACCAAAATTCTTCATAGAGAAACATGATGGTTCAAGGTTGGAAAATGAAGGGGTTCCTACGAAAATTGGTGATGATTGGAATTTAAAGACATAACTCTTCATCAAGGGTTTTAATCACCAAAAGGTAAGTAACCCTTCATTTGAAACCTCTTCTCTCCTCACTTTTCAGGACCAATCACGTGAAAGGTCACTTCCAAAAAGAATATCCTTAAAGGAAGATCACTCTCAAAAGGTACCTATTGGTAAATCAAATTCCAAAGAAAGGCTTAAAGGGAAATCTTATGAAAGGATACCTAATGGAAGAACACAACCGTTCAAAGGATTCTTTCTTTTAGCAAGGAGACGTGAAGTTATGCAAGGACAGAATGAACTCGATTTGAGGACAAATCGCCCTAAAGAAGGGGGGATGATGCAAGCACGTTTTATCAATAAAGGGAGTACTCTTTAACACCTTTATATTGAAATTACTATATATATTAGTTATATACTACATGCTCTTATAATACAATTCATGATAAGAATTCTTGTTATATAGATAAAGAATAACTTAGTATGAACACAATATGCACATTGATATTTAAGCATATTAGGATAGTTTTATAATAATATAAAACATGATTACCTTATATACATCAAAGCAACATTATTATAATTCATTTTTATTGGTTCATATGCATTCGTATTAGCTCTTAAGCTTCATGCATTATCTTACACACATAATGAGATGATATATTTAGCTCATGACCTTCAATCATAGGTCACATTACCATATTCTTACATGGCAGCAAGGTATTTAGCTCATAACAGCTCAATACCATGGACTTACCTTGTTTTCTTACACATATAGGTACATTGGAGTGTGATGCATGATGAGGTAGCTTGGTGGATGATTTGGACGTCATAAGTAGCTCACAAACAACTCAAAAAGTACAAGGTAACTCATGGAACACTAAGGAAAGCTCGATTCAGCTGGAGGAGCTTAAGACTAGCTAAACTCAGCTAGTTGGACTATTTGGAGCTGAGTTGCCAAAAGTGATGTCAAAGGTAGCTGAGTGTAGCTGAACATGTTGTTATAGAGCTCACAAGGAGTCGACTAGGAAGCTTGCTCACGAACAGCCCATAATTGCTAAGATAGCTCCACACTCAAGCTAGCTTGGAAGAAGACACATGCACGCCCAAGATGGAGCACATGACCAGCCATCATTCCATGCACAAGGCTACACCACAAGGTTCCCTAGGACACCCGTGCATGCCATATGACCAACCCCCATGTGCCTTGCATGTGGACTCATTTAGGCACCAAGATGAAGAGCTCTCTCCCTATTCGACCAAGCATCATCTCCCATCCAATTTGGCACCAACATGAAGGGGCACTAGAGCTATTCGGCCAAGGGTTATCACCCTCCATTTAAACTGAAACATCATCTCTATTTTGTAATTAATTATATCACTATAGGAAGGCACAAGGCTGGCCGAACCCCCTTGTAACCATTCGGCCATACCTCTCCATTTCCTATAAATAAGAAAGCATATGAGATTATTCTTTTCCTTAAGTCCTGGTGACTTTTATCTACTTATCAAGTATTTTTATACTTGTGGCGTCAACCCCTTTCTTTTCACCTTGATACTTCTGGTTCCTAGTTCATATAACTAGTGGGTCAAAGTACTTAATACCAACCCTTGAAGAAGCAATATAAAGTCTGGATAGCATTGGTTCTTCTTTGAGTATTCTTTAAGATACTATCCTCACAACCATCCCTTTGTTTCATCAGCCATAACTATAGCCATAACAACCATCTTCCGCTTCCATCTCTCATTTTAAACAGCCCACCTATTCACCATACATCTACCACCCTTAACCTTCTCTTTTTGAGCCATTCACTTGTGCAGGTTGTTTGCTTTCTTCCTAGATCCACAATCAATTTGTTAAGGTACAAGTGCCTTACATCACATGTTCAACCTATTGGCTTCAAATCTGGTAACTTCACGTCCTTTGATGTGAGGACACAATGTTTGGGAATCATCACATGTCCTTTGAACAAGAGAGACATAGCCCTTCACGAACCAACTTGATCCTTTTTCTTTATTCTTTGAATCATCACAATGCTTGGAAATGACCTCTATATCTTCATTTCCTCCTTTTTAATTCGTCATGCTTGTTGGTGAAAAGGTTTGTCTCTTGGTTGGAGTCATCACGTCGCTTGGTGAAGATAAGTGTTCTTTGAATGACTCATTGGTGATGATTTAAATCATCATGTCCTTTCACCTTTGTGCCTCTCCAAATTATTGCCTTGAAGGTTGGTATGATTTCTTCACCATAAGGATGAAACAAGTTGCTACAAAATAAATCAAAGTTAGTAAATGAAAAACTATTAACAAGGTGAATGGAAATAGCAAACTAGTGTGGATGTTTAATGGGCATTGGTTGCTTAATGATGGAAAACTCCATTGGTTGCTGAATTCCCTTCAATGTATGCAATGTATTTGGAGCCTGAATGATCTCAACTTTTGGTACTTTAATTGGTACATTCTTTTGATTTTCAAGAGGTACATCTTTTAAAATGTCAAAGAACATGTCTTGTGGATCACTTAAAGTCACGTCTATTGATTCTTCAAAAGACATGTTTATTGAATCTCCAGCTTGAAAGATATGTCTCTTGGAATATCCTGCAAGGAAAAGGAAATAGTAGAAAAATATTTGTTAGGTAAAACTTCACTCTGCTTCTCTTCTCTACACTCATCCTTTTCAAATATGCCATTTTCAGTTTGCTCCATTACTTGCAAAACATCCTTTTCAACTTCAACAGCTTCATTTCCAATTCTTCTTGTCTCTTCAAAACATTCTTCTTCAATGGTATTTTCTTTGATTTGCTCATTTCTCCTCATATCTACAATACTTTTCTTCATGGCCTTCGTTTTCTCCCATTCTTCTATGCGTGACTTAAGGGTCACTTGACATTCATGGACTTGGCCTGGAAACATAGGCGCCAATATGATTTTCTTTCCTTGATGTTGGAAAGAGTACTTGTTAGAAAATCTATCATGGTTAGCCTTCTTGTCAAACTGCCATGAACGTCCTAGTATAAGGTGTGATACGATCCCGGTCGGAACTCGACGATCGATTGTGGATCTAGGAAGGAAGCGAAGCAACCTGCATAAGATAAACATAAGAAACGGATAGTTTACAGTGGTAAATGGTCGATTTAAGAGATGGTAGCGGAAGACTCGGATTTGGTAATAATATGGATAACGAATTGTGGGATGATGAAACGATAGTATCTTAAAGAAGACTTAAAGAAGAACCGATGTTAAAGAACAACGACCCAAATTTATATTGCTTCGATAAGGGATGGTAAATCGGACTTTGACCCGCTATCTATAAAGAGATAGGAACCATAAGTATCAAGGTGAAATGGAATGACACCACAAGTAACGAGTTACTTGATAAGTCGATAAAAGTCACGAAGGACTCAATTAGAGAAAACTCTCACAATTTCATTAAAACAAAGTCTATCATTACAATGCAAAATGAAGCTATTTATAAGACTAGAAATACAAAGGCTAAAATTATAACATGCATGGACATATGGTACAAAATGCATGGCTGATTGTTTCAATTTGCATGGCCTCTTGGTGCTTGTTGACGTGGACTCCTTTAGACATAATTTCAGCTCAAATTCTTGCATGATTTTCGGTCATATGGTTGGTGGAGTGTGTTGGCCGAATCTCATTAAAAGATGTCTAGTGGAGATTAAACAAAGTGGAGACAAGTGAGCACATGGGCTGTTGGAGTGTTTCACGCACATGGTTGTCTTCAAGTGTGATTTGGCGTGTAGTGGCCTTCTTTGTGAGTGATGGTCTAGTCATGGCTGATTAAATAATACATGAGCTGTTGGAGTGTTTCACGCACATGGGATGTCTAGTGCCTCCTTTTCACGCACATGGGCTGTTCCCTTAAGTGCTTTGGCTTGTATGCTTTGCAATATAAAGCTCACGTGGATTTGTCTTCATCTTTTCCCAAGTGGAGATAATAGTTTAATCAAGGAAAAAGGCTGGTGGTGAATTTCCAACCAAATTCATTCTCCCCAAATGCTCATATTCTGTCGTGAATTGTTGAATAGGTGGGTGAGCCATTCTTAATCCTTTAAATGCTGGAACGTGCTGGAAATGTGTTTAAAATAATGCTCCATTAACCTTCCAAAACGTTCTCCATTCTTTATCAACACACATGGTCGTGTTATGTGCTGGATTTGTGTTCAAAGAATCCCTTAAAAACCGTCCAGCATGGGGCTGATCACTTGGTGTTCCTATATGATTAAAATAACAAGTTATTTTAATGTATAGTGCTGTTATAACAAGAACAAGTGCTGCCCATCACATGTTGTCTCCCACATATCCTTAATTGCCGTAGAGTGAGCTGGATAAGAGCTTCAATACGCTGCTCCAACTTGTGCTATATTTTAATAGCCTTGTTGTCGTTTTGTACCATGAAAATATGTTAAATAACCTCCTCAAAAACCGCCCAGTATGGAGCATGAGCTTTGTGTTCCCTACAAGTGCAAATAAACTAATATTAACGTGATATTATAAGTGATAAAACTTGCTGCCATGTGTGTCTTGTGTCTTGTGAGCCTTTGTTTGCATTAAAGAGCACGTGAACTTATTTTATAAATGAGCTAAATGTTTAATATGTATGATTACTAAAATATGCAAGGATGATTGCAAATGCACGGCAAATGAAACATAAATGCAGAATAACACGTTAAAATAAGTTACACAAGTGATATGCTGAAACGTGAAAACATGAATAAGTAATTTTATTTCTCATGAACAAACACATATGCATGAATGCTAAGATGACAAATATTAATGAGCTAACAAATAATTAAATATGAATGCAAATGAATTGCACAATGATATGTGAACAACACGTGAACTTAGTTGAATAACCTAGGAACTAAGTTGAATGCAAATTAGCTACAAGTATGCTGTTTATGGAAACATGTTACATAACACGTGAACATCTTAAATACTAAGATGAAATGCAAAACTAATATGATACAATAATATGCTTGACATGAATGATGATTGAACGAAAATGTGAAACATGATATGCAAAGCTACTCTAACATACTAAACAACTTAATTACTAATATGCAATGTAATGCATAAATAAGTAAATAAGTAATAAAGTAAGGAATTACTCCCTTAGAGTTAATAAGGTAGAACGTCCTTGAGGGGTTTTCGTCATGGAGAAAACCGGCCCTAAACGTGCTCACATCATCCTCCCTTTCTTTTTGGCGATTTGTCCTCAAATCGAAATGATTTCTCATTGAAGACCTTCTTGATGTAGGATGGATGGAATCCTCATACCTTTCTCCAATGGTCAACCTCTTGACTTCATATTTGGTAACTTCATATTTCCTTGAATCATCATGAGGATGGTGGGATAGCTTTTCCTTCAAATCGTTTATTTGCAAATTGGAGAGTGGCAATTTCTTATCAAGATTGCAAAGATACTTATCCTCGCAACTCAATACATCAATTCCACGTTTTTGTATCGTCCCTCCAAATAGTAAATAAAAGTTAGTAGGTAAATCAATAACAAAAGAGTTAGAAAGATTAAACCTTGGATGATACTTGATGATATCATTGGGTACCAGTTCCTTGGGAATAGAAATTTTCATTAAGTCCTTCTTTGAAACATTGCTAGAGCATGGACGATGCTCGATCATCAATAGGGTTGGCGATGTGTTTATCATGTTTCTGGAAGTACTCGTCTTGTCCTCCTGCAACAATGAAGATCCAAAAATAGAAGAAGAATGGTTAAGGTTGTTAGTGCAAATTGAAATTTTACACTCTTTCTCCTTTGCACAAACAATTTCTTTTTCAAATTCTTCATTTTCACTCTCATTCTCATTTTCGACTCCAACATTTCTCACATCGATTTTCTTATTTTCATTGCTCTCAATGTCGTTTTCAACTTTCACTTCTTTATTTTTGCAAACACTTTCTTTTTGTAGTTGTTCTTGCAATTGTGTTTCTTTGACGAAATTGTCAACACACTCTTGAAGACGAGCTAGACTTTCTGGATTAAAACATGCAAAATTTCTTGGCTCTCTTCTCGTTGAACTTTTGACATTGCTTCGGAAATTGGAATCCTCTTCGTAAGATCTTTCGTTCCAATTGGATGTAGGAACGGGTCGAGTGTCGTCTCTCCTCTTGATTTGGCCCCTGATCTTCGGCGGAGGTGTTTGTGAACAAGAACGTTTTTCGATTATACGATCCATCGTCTTTATGATTGGGTTGAGACTTTCTTTGAGCAAACTCCTCAATTCTCGACTGAAATCTTGAAATTGAGAATTTGATAAAAAATCTCGTTCGTCATCTACTGTATAATCATTTGATCTTGTGTACTTTCGAGACATAATGAAAAGAAAAAGATTAATAAAAATAATCAAAATAACTGTTAGTAACATAAAAAGAATCTCACCAATTCACTCCAAAGAAAACTTGAATGTCGCTCAACACTCGTGTTTAACTCGGGATGGCTTTTACCCTTGGTGTTCACTCTTGCCTTTTACCGCTCAATTCTCTTTATGTCAAGTCCTAAAATGACTTTACTCAAAACCGTATCAAGTAGATTTTACTCGATGTGCGTCGGACAAAGTTAATTCACAACCTTTCTATCACCACAATCAATCAAAGCTTACTTGAATGGCTTGGTGATAAGTCTTGTTGTTGAACGTTTTAATCTTCTTTTGCTGATTTTTTTCGTTTTTCACTTTGCACTATACTTGCACTTCTCTTTTTGTATATATTTTTTTTATTTTCGTTGTATGTTGCTTCTTCCAACTAAAAGCTCTAATTACCGCAAGATACGATAATCTCGCTTGATGTACGGTGCTTCTTCCAACTAGCTCTGATACCAAATGATACGATCCCGGTCGGAACTCGACGATCGATTGTGGATCTAGGAAGGAAGCGAAGCAACCTGCATAAGATAAACATAAGAAACGGATAGTTTACAGTGGTAAATGGTCGATTTAAGAGATGGTAGCGGAAGACTCGGATTTGGTAATAATATGGATAACGAATTGTGGGATGATGAAACGATAGTATCTTAAAGAAGACTTAAAGAAGAACCGATGTTAAAGAACAACGACCCAAATTTATATTGCTTCGATAAGGGATGGTAAATCGGACTTTGACCCGCTATCTATAAAGAGATAGGAACCATAAGTATCAAGGTGAAATGGAATGACACCACAAGTAACGAGTTACTTGATAAGTCGATAAAAGTCACGAAGGACTCAATTAGAGAAAACTCTCACAATTTCATTAAAACAAAGTCTATCATTACAATGCAAAATGAAGCTATTTATAAGACTAGAAATACAAAGGCTAAAATTATAACATGCATGGACGTATGGTACAAAATGCATGGCTGATTGTTTCAATTTGCATGGCCTCTTGGTGCTTGTTGACGTGGACTCCTTTAGACATAATTTCAGCTCAAATTCTTGCATGATTTTCGGTCATATGGTTGGTGGAGTGTGTTGGCCGAATCTCATTAAAAGATGTCTAGTGGAGATTAAACAAAGTGGAGACAAGTGAGCACATGGGCTGTTGGAGTGTTTCACGCACATGGTTGTCTTCAAGTGTGATTTGGCGTGTAGTGGCCTTCTTTGTGAGTGATGGTCTAGTCATGGCTGATTAAATAATACATGAGCTGTTGGAGTGTTTCACGCACATGGGATGTCTAGTGCCTCCTTTTCACGCACATGGGCTGTTCCCTTAAGTGCTTTGGCTTGTATGCTTTGCAATATAAAGCTCACGTGGATTTGTCTTCATCTTTTCCCAAGTGGAGATAATAGTTTAATCAAGGAAAAAGGCTGGTGGTGAATTTCCAACCAAATTCATTCTCCCCAAATGCTCATATTCTGCCGTGAATTGTTGAATAGGTGGGTGAGCCATTCTTAATCCTTTAAATGCTGGAACGTGCTGGAAATGTGTTTAAAATAATGCTCCATTAACCTTCCAAAACGTTCTCCATTCTTTATCAACACACATGGTCGTGTTATGTGCTGGATTTGTGTTCAAAGAATCCCTTAAAAACCGTCCAGCATGGGGCTGATCACTTGGTGTTCCTATATGATTAAAATAACAAGTTATTTTAATGTATAGTGCTGTTATAACAAGAACAAGTGCTGCCCATCACATGTTGTCTCCCACATATCGTTAATTTCCGTAGAGTGAGCTGGATAAGAGCTTCAATACGCTGCTCCAACTTGTGCTATATTTTAATAGCCTTGTTGTCGTTTTGTACCATGAAAATATGTTAAATAACCTCCTCAAAAACCGCCCAGTATGGAGCATGAGCTTTGTGTTCCCTACAAGTGCAAATAAACTAATATTAACGTGATATTATAAGTGATAAAACTTGCTGCCATGTGTGTCTTGTGTCTTGTGAGCCTTTGTTTGCATTAAAGAGCACGTGAACTTATTTTATAAATGAGCTAAATGTTTAATATGTATGATTACTAAAATATGCAAGGATGATTGCAAATGCACGGCAAATGAAACATAAATGCAGAATAACACGTTAAAATAAGTTACACAAGTGATATGCTGAAACGTGAAAACATGAATAAGTAATTTTATTTCTCATGAACAAACACATATGCATGAATGCTAAGATGACAAATATTAATGAGCTAACAAATAATTAAATATGAATGCAAATGAATTGCACAATGATATGTGAACAACACGTGAACTTAGTTGAATAACCTAGGAACTAAGTTGAATGCAAATTAGCTACAAGTATGCTGTTTATGGAAACATGTTACATAACACGTGAACATCTTAAATACTAAGATGAAATGCAAAACTAATATGAAACAATAATATGCTTGACATGAATGATGATTGAACGAAAATGTGAAACATGATATGCAAAGCTACTCTAACATACTAAACAACTTAATTACTAATATGCAATGTAATGCATAAATAAGTAAATAAGTAATAAAGTAAGGAATTACTCCCTTAGAGTTAATAAGGTAGAACGTCCTTGAGGGGTTTTCGTCATGGAGAAAACCGGCCCTAAACGTGCTCACATCAAGGTGGCTTGCACTCATGGGCACCACGTCACAAAGGACTTCATCATTGTATCTTTCAATTGAGAAAGGTACAATAACTTGTTTGGTTACCTTGGCTTTACCCACATCGTTGAACCACTGAAGTTTGTATGGATGAGGATGCTTGGAAGTCTTGAGACCCATCTTTTCCACTATGTGAGTATTTGTTACGTTTGTACAACTTTCTCCATCAATGATCACCACGCAAATTTTATCTCCCACGTGACATTTGGTATTGAAGATGTTCTCTCTTTGTTCATCTTCTTGACTTTGAATGTTTGAAGTCCTTTTGACTACAAATATGTTAGATAGAAGAGACATGTTAGCAAATAAGGAAAAACGAAATGTGTGTTGGACCTTACCAGAATATACTCTCACAAAGCCTCACGAGTCACTCCAAGGAACTTGAATGTCACTCAATCTGCTCGTATTTGCACTCTAGGACTTTAATGGCTTTTATTTGTCCTCTTATGATATCACACACGCTCTAGCCTTTTTCCTCTCAATTCTCTTATCTCAAGTTCTAGAGAACTTTACTCAAGACTGTATCAAATAAATTTTTACTTGTTTGGCGTCGGCTGCAAAAAGGTTAGTAGGAAGGGGAAAATAAATATAATGAAAGGGTGGCTTAGAAATAGGAAGAAAAGAACAAAAGGGGTTACTTACACAAGTCACTTCACAACCTTCTATCAATTTAAACGGCTTACTTAATTGCTTGGTGATGAGAATTGTTGATGAGTGCTTCAACTTATTTCTTTTCTTTTCTTCTTTTTGATTGCTGGATTTTTCTTTCTTTTGAGTGCTTCACTTTGTTTTCTGATTTTTCTTGATTTCTTTGACTTTGCACTTCTTTTTGTATTTTTCTTTTTATTGTTGTTGCACGTTGCTTTCTTCCACCAAAGCTCTGATTACCGCATGATGTAAGGCATTTGTACCTTAACAAATTGATTATGGATCTAGGAAGGAAGCAAACAATCTGCAAGGGAATAATTTGGAGAGGCACAAAGGTGAAAGGACATGATGATTTAAATGATCACCAATGAGTCATTCAAAGAGCACTTATCTTCACCAAGCGACGTGATGACTCCAACCAAGAGACGAACCTTTTCGCCAACAAGCATGGTGAATTAAAAGGAGGAAATAAAGATATAGAGGTCCTTTCCAAGCATTGCGATGATTCAAAGAATAAAGAAAAATGATCAAGTTGGTTCATGAAGGGCTCTGCCTCTCTTGTTCAGAGGACATGTGATGATTCCCAAACATTGTGTCCTCTCATCAAAGGATGTGAAGTTACCAGATTTGAAGCCAAGAGGTTGAACATATCGTGTGAATCATCTATTGGAGAAAAACATAAGGATTCAATCCTTCCTACATCAAGAAGGTCTTTAATGAGAAACTACTTCGATTTGAGGACAAATCGCCTAAAAGAATGGGAGGATGATACGATCCAAACTAGCTCCAACTTTCTCCATGACTTGAACACACCATGGATGTTCTTCATTGCTGTTTGTAAGGGAGTTCTTCATTACCCTATCTTATATTATATCATTTATACATTCTATTCTATCATGAGCATGCATTCACATTTTAGTATAAATCATCATATTATTATTTCCATCCTATGTATAGTTGATCATGTTTTTCATATCATTGAAATATATGCTATGATTACATATCATTTCTTAGGATATTATTATTACATGTTTCCATTTATCATTTATGAATACCATGTCATATGATATTCATGCATACAACATATACCCACATCTTTATGATTGATACACAATATTATAAGTACGTTAGATTAATCTTACATCCATTTAAGCATGATTCATTAAATTCATGAAATGGCAGCATGCTTAATCATTCATTTGTTAGCTCATATGCATTCATTTTAACTCTTAGGTCTTACACATTAGCTTACATATGTTATCATTATGTACATAGCTCATGACATGCATTCATAGCTTATATCACTCAAACACCTCACGAAAACATGCATTTTACCTTAAATGAGCTCACACATTGCTTAATTTGTTTGTTTGTTGATTCCTATAGGTAAAACACAAAGCAAGGCATATTATGGTAGCTTGGTTAGCTAAAAGGACAAGCATAGCAGCTCACAATAGCTCATGAATGTTATGACAGCTCATTTAATCACTTAAGGAGTTTCAACTTAGCTAGAAGAGCTAGCATGCAGCTGAACTTAGCTGGAGGAGTTCTTTGGACTAAATTAATGAAAAGTGGACTAAAGGTAGCTGGGAGAGTAGTTGAGGAGCTGAGAAGACCAAAGCTAACTAGCTTGAGTTCATCAAGCTATAGCTTACCTAGTAAGCTACCAAGATACTCACCTAACTTACCTTGAAGCTAATTCATCTCTAGGCTGCCCAAGGACTTCAAGACATCATCCTATGGTTGTAACCTCACCA